TAAAAATTGGGCCATTTTGATGATGTCACAAAGGGGGTGGAGCCAGCTCTAGCAGACCTGCGCAGCGCTGGTAATAAGCGAGTTTTAAACTTTTGTAGGGTAACTAAGGGGGGGGGCAAACCACCTAAATGGTGAGTCTAGCACTATACGGTCAGGAATACATGTTTGTGTTCCTGACCCTATAGTGATCCTTTAAATAAGAGAACTCACCAGTAAACACACACATAATAGGGCCACACACCTGCAAGAGGTCTGATGCAGACAGATGTGAACGATGTATAATGCTGAATGAGTCCTGATTTCCTTTTTTATTAACTTTGACTATTTTCCGTCCTCAGAATTTATTGAAATGTAACCCAGTTCAAAGGATTTCGGCTGACGAGGCTTTGCAGCACCCATACTTTGCAGATTTCTGTCCTCCTTAATGTCTACTCCATCCCTCTCAGATAATGACGCCCCCCACTACATTTTCTTGTCCATGCTCCTTACCTGACTCGTCTTGTCCGGCATTGCATGATGTTTAATGGGACGGCATCCTGATGTTCTGTGTTACAGTAAAGGAAACTTCAACACAGCCCCTGGGTGACCAGATTTCCTAAACGCCAGGCGCTGTTTACTCATTGGCTGACCGTACTGCATCCTGCGGTATGTGGAAAGCACCACCTTCTTCAGCCTTACCGCAAAATGTCATTACTTGATGAACTTTCATTTGAAAATACTGCAAGAAGCAGATCTCCCTGCCCCACCCCCCTTCACTCTAATTTATTTTGGGACCTTTCCCTGCGCTGTGGGACCCTCACTGTTGTATATTTTAATGTAAATTTTTGGGGAGATTGTTTTTCTCCCTGTAAATGTATATGCAGTTTTTTGAGAATTAGAACTGTGAATTATTTTACTGGCCCCTTGAAACTGTATACATTAGCAGTACACATTCCATCTACCAAATGCTGAGCATGAAACATACAACGTGTACAGAATAAGTGGAATAAAACATTTGGAGAATGGAGCTGGTGCTTTATTTGAAGATGTTCTCTGAGCCTCATTAAACTTCTCCGTCGGGTCTGTATGAGAAAGGGGCTCCACCTTTCCTCGATTGTCAACCTTGCTGGGTTATGCAGAGAGCAGCTTGGCCTATATTGAGTGGCAGCATTTAGCTGAATTTATCATATTTCTTAGATCCAGCTGACCCTGCAACATTTAATGTTCTGTCTGAAATGCTGCTATACCTTGAAATGTTTAGTAATAAAAATGCAATGCTGGGTTTAACAGAGGGGAGAAGACAACTTTTTATTTGATATTAAAGGAATTCTCTAGGTACCAAAACAACTTTTAGCTTCGTGAAACGGTGTCGTCGTACAGATCATCCCCCCCGCCACCCCTGTAATTAGAGCTGTCTGCAGACTTAGCGAAGTTGCAGGAACAACGCATAGACCGACTCTTTTCAACTTGGCAGATGGATTTCCTGGGCTTGTCTCGTTATGGGGCATTTAAAATAAAAATTTAAATTGTCGTCGCCTACAACTCGAGACAACCAGTACATAGCATGTCATAGGCCATATCATCCGACTGTCCAACAAACTGCGATGCGTATAAGTCCATCGAAAACTGCAACATCACCTCATTGTCTCTGATAAACGATACTAGCAGTTGCATAGCTGACGACAGTTTTTATAAATATATTCAAAAGATAGCATAACACTGGTTGTAACAATTTAACCAGCCCCGTCCTACCTTCTTGCTGCTGACAAGTATATATGTAAAATATGAATAATACTAGAAGGTAGGTGTGTTCCCTGCCTTGGGTCGTAGCGGTAGGAAGTACAAGAGCTGGCCCAACCAAGAAACAAAAGAACAAAGACGTAGATAGAATTAAGGAGAGGATAGAGATTAGATAAGTACCAGTGATGTTCCCTATGTGAGAGCTTTCTACCACAGTTAGGGTAACCGTACAGGGTAATCAGGAAAACCTGTTACCTCCAGAGAACTTTCCTTCTCACCCGATTTTTTTTGCCAGGAGGTGAGGTTTGGGATTCTCTTTACTACCTCCCCTAGCTCTCCCTTTCTCCAGAACTCCCAGATTTGATGGCTCCCCGTGTGTAGTTTCCCCAATATGGTATATCGGTATGGTGCATCTCGAGATAAAAGGGGCCCCCCCAGTGACCCAGAGGAGACCCACCCCACATATCCATGACTAATTAAAGTTTGTCTATATACCCATGCCATGGTTCCCATACTTTATAGAACGAGGGGAGGGTGTTGTGTACAGTTGCCGTCAGTTGGTCCATTAGGTTATTTTCTTCCACTTTTGCTCTAACCTCTCCTGTCTGTGGCGGGTAGGGCTGCAGCCAGTGCGCCGCCAGAACAGAAATTAAAAACGTAATCGTGGGAGGACATTCATTTTCATGCTATGAAAGTGTCCTATCTATGAAATCGGTTTGGATCCCCAAGCCTCCAGGTCCCTCTTTACATTGTGAAACAAGGACTGATAGTTGACCCCTATATAGGTTCCGACTACTCCTGGTAACCGTGATACCCAGATACTTTATAGGGTCAGTCAATCTAAGTTGCAATGTGGCTCAGGCTAATTTCTCTTTGGCATCCGACAGGTGCATTTGGCATAGCGCTGGAATTAGTTAAATTAACTTTATAGCCAGATATTTGGCCATATTCATTAATCAGTTTGAGCAGAGTGGGCAATGACTCGAGAGGATCTGATATTGTTAGTATGACATCATCGGCATAGGCAGCCTGTAACGGACCGCCTGGCACCCCGACTGGGTACCTCCGTCTTTCGCTACTTGTGAGTACCATAATCACTGCACTGGAACACCACCGTAGACCCCACGAACCGCCGTAGCTTAATTGGAGTCTCGCCGTCCTCCACCCACCCTGGACCCAAGACCAGGATCCAGCTTCCAGTGGGTAGACCTCTCCTAGTCCAGAGAGCGTAGCAGGAACGGGACAAAATGCAGCACTTCTTGCCCCAAGTCGCCAGGGGCCCTGGAACCGCTCCTTCCTGGAGCCGAATGGGGAGTTAGCTCTGACACCTCCAGGCACTGGATGACACTCAGTCCTGGGAATTCTTGAACCGAATGGGAAATTAGCTCTAGTCCTTACAAGGACTTTCCCCATTGAATCTCCTGCAAGCTGGAACAGCAGACACCGGAGCAAATCTTCTTTCCCTCCAATAACAGGACGACACACAGTTTTGGAGTGTAAGCAGATTTGCTCCTGTGTCTGCTACCAACCAGCCCCAGAAATAAGAGACCTTATCGACTGGTCAAGGGAAAACAGGTGGAGATCGGACCGAGGTCTCTCCACCGGCCCTACAGGGATGCTGGGCTGCCACTGGTGTCTTTCCTCTTCGTGTCATAGCGCTTCCTGGAGGTCGCTAATCTTTTTAGTTTTAAGCCTTTTTTGGGGGGGTAGCTATCTTTATGAGAAGACCGCTGATGACTGCCTTATGGACTGACCAAACCGTAGCGGGGGACACCTGGAGTGTCGTTGAAGAGAAAGTACTCCTCCAAAGCAGTAGTCAGTTCCACTACTACCTTCCTATCTCTTAGGAGCAATTTATTCAGACGCCAGGTCTAGTTCGTTGGGTTCAACAAGCCCCTCAAAGAGAGGTGGGTATCCACGTGGTCCAACCAGTAGATGGAATGAATGTCCGTCCCCTGGACCACTGGAATCGTTTTCCGTGAGACCAGGAATATGTCAGTGCGGGAGTATGTCCCATGCAGAGACGAATAAAAAGTGTACTAACAAACCCCCGTTTGCTGCACCCTCCAAATATCTATCAACTCGCAGTCCTCCATGAATTTCCTAAGAATCTTGTCATTTGCCCCCATTCCTTGGGAACGCCTAGTCCCGGGAGCCGCGCTCCTGTCAGCCGCCGAACAAGGGGCCGCATTGCAGTCCCCTCCCATC